AAGTTTGCCTTCCTCCTCTTCCTGGCTCCCGGGCCTCGGGCTTGCGTGCCACCCGCCCAGCACCGCGCGCCCCCGTGGCAGCAGCCGGCAGGCGCCGGGCCGGGGGCCAGCTGCCTGGCCGCGTGTCTGGGCGCTGCGACTCGTTGTGCTGTGGCTCGGCCCGGGCTGTAAATGAACTGCAGGACGCCCCGGGAAATCGGAATGTCAGGTAGGCGAGAAACTCTTTCATCTTAATAAGTCCACGGCCATATTTGGGACATACTTAGCTAAAAACTGCCTCTGGCTTGTCTACCTGAAATTCAAACATGACAGGGCACCGTGGGTTTTTATTTGCCAAAGCTAGCAATCCCACGCACCCTGGGGAAATCTTTCAACCTCTGTACCACACCTTCCTCATCTTCAGAATGGGGAGGAGGAGGAGGATTAGGTAACTGGATGCTGACTTATCTCCCTACGCATTCAGCAGGGTGCCTGCCACGTGGGCAACCCTCCCTGAGTGCCATCACAATCATTCGTGATCATGGCTGCCTGGTAGTTACATATCTACTGATGGCCGATTCTCCTGCTGGCTAGGAGCAGCCCGACCGACGGGGGAGTGGTTGGTTCAAGGACACCCTGGATCAATATTTTAAAGAACAAGAAACTGCCCCACCCTCCCCGGCTTAGACTCGTGTCCTACCTGGTCGAGGTATTTCTTCCACACAGGCTCGGTGTTTTCGGCCACAAACTCGTTCCAGCCGTGGACCCGTCTGCGCTGCGTCACGGAGAACTCCGACAGCCCCGTGTGTAAGTCCACCTGGAGGGAGAGGCCAAATGCAAGGTTGCTGATGGGTCCAGCAAGGACCAAGGAACTCAAGTCCCAGACACGTAACCAGAAGGCAGCTGTGTCCACGACAGGTTTGTCCACAAAAGTACAGGGGCTTGTTCCAATGCTCCTAGCAGATGGGCAGACAGAGGGAAGAGGCACGGTTCAATTACCACCTATAATTATGGCAGAAAAGGTGACCCTGGGCCTAGATGTCAACAAGCACAATCACACCGTGGAATTTTAGGAAGGCAGAAACATGTTCTCATATTTTCTTAAAAAAAAAAAAAAAGGCCTTGGAAATATAGAATGGTGCATTTGCTGTGAAAAACAGTATGGTAGTTCCTCAAAAAATTAAGACTAGAATTACCCTATGACCCAGCAATTCCATTTCTGGGTGTACAACCAAAAGACTGGAAAGTAGGTCTTAGAGAGCGATTTACACCTGTGTTCACAGCAGCCGAAGACAGAAGCCCCCCAAGTGTCCATCAGTGGATGAAAGGATAAGCGGAACGTGGTCTGTATGTGCAACAGAATATTACTTAGCCCTAAACCCAAAGGAGATTCGGGCATACTGCCATGTGGATGAACCTTGAAGTTCAGCTGTGAGGCGAAGTTAAGAGAAACAAGCCAGCCACAAAGAGGCACGTGCTGTATGGTCTCACTTAGCGGAGGGTCTGGAGTGGTCAAATTTATAGAGACAGAAAGTAGACTGGCGGCCGCCAAGGGCTCGGAAGGGGGAGAAGGACTCGGTGTTTCACGGAGACAGAGATTCGGTTTTGCGAGATAAAAAGAATTCTGGAGACAGATAATGGTGAGGGTTTGCACAGGGATGTACTTAACCCTGCTATGATGAGCACTTAAGAATGGCTGAGGTGAGAGCTGGGCTCGGTGGCTCAGCCTGTAATCCTGCGCCTTTGGGAGGCTGAGGTGAGTGAATGGCCTGAGGCAGCGGGTTCGAGACCCGCCTGGGCAGGCGAGACCTCATCTCTACGATAAATCAAAAAAATGAGCCGGGCATGGTAGCACGCGCCTGTAATTCCGGCTACTCAGAAGGTGGAGGCGGAAGGATCGCCGGAGCCCGGCAGGTCGAGGCTGTGGTGGCCGGGAGCGGCCACTGCACTCCAGTCTGGGCGACAGAGTGAGACTCCAACTCAAAAAAAAAAAAAAAAGAAAAAAAAAGAACGGCTAAGGTGGTACATTGTATGTTGTACATTTTACCACAATCAAAAAATATTAAAAAAAGAACCCCCCAACCCCCCCAAATCCCAAAAAAGCCTGTTCTCAGAAAGAATAGAAGCTACAACTATGATTTTATGCCAGGCACGACTCCAAGCTGTTTCCAGAAACAAATCCATTAAATAGAGCAAATTGAAGAGTCAGTCATCGTGGAAGGAAACTTTGTTTTTCTGGTCACACCAAAGGGGTCCTTGTTTTTGGATGGTCAAAACAAGAAAGCCGTCCTTGCTGGTAGAGGGAACACGGAATTGATTTCTAAATTCTTTTTGAATCACGCAAGAAAATCGAGCTCATTTTCTAGGTAGAAAAAGTGTCGAGGCAGGGAAAAATAGGGTCTCCTCCTCTCCAAATACTAATAAGCGGGACTCACATTTAACCAGACTTCTGGATTATTCTCAAGTAGGAAACACGGACTTTCAACTTCCTTGAAATTGTAGCATGTGCCTTTTTATTGGTGGGTTTTCCTTTGCTTTCCCGAAGGTTAGTGGGTATGAATGTGCACACACACTCACGCACACACACGTGTGCTATTATATTTATTCAGCTTTCTAAGTAAAGAAAATTCAAAACATTAAGCAAGCAGCCTCAGAGGGGTAGCTTCATGAAGCTTTTGTCTGGGACTGACCGGGAATTCAAACTCACTTGAGAAACCTGGGAGAATTTGGATTTGGTGACTGACAAATCCGTGGATTATGAAAGTCAAAGGCGGGACTAGGAGGACTGAGAGTCTGAACTTTGATGACAAAGCACGTGGCTCTAACCCCGTGTGGTGCTGCCTCTAATCTCAGCTCACCACAGAGGCTCAGAAGAGGGTCCATGGCTCCTTCCAAGTCACGCAGCTGGACAGTAGGGTGGGCCACCATGTCTGGGTTGTGTCTACGTAACTGGCTGCGCTGCCTCTAACCCTGGGCTGTGCTACTTTCTGCCTGGGTGACTTCCTTTTCTGTGCCTCTGTGTTTCCCCTGTAAATGGAGGATTATGAGAAACAATGTATACAGTTGTGCATACAACGTGAACAACATCTGGAAGGAGGCCTGTCTTCCAGAAAGGGACTGGTGAGGGTCAGTGCTATGGACAGCAGCGAGGATATTCCACCTGCTGGAATGGTCAGGTTGTATGATACTTGATATAGGAAGGATGCTTTCCAACATGGAATGGTCAAGTTGTTTGATAACCTGGAATGTCAAAGCCATTTCCGGGGCTTTGTGCTGCTTTCTTTTAAATCTAAAAACCTCACACAATTGGCATCGGAGGCAAACGCAGTTCTTACACAAAATGCTTTGGCCAAATCCTCCTTGTGACACTTGCATGCTTCCTTGGGTGGCAGAGCGGTCACCTTCTTCTCTTTCTCGATGGCTTTCAGCTCACACTCTTCTTCAATCTGTGGAAAGAGCAGAGTTGCCGTTTAGCGAGTTGGAGTTTTATATTGATTTTTTTTTTTTTGTTTTAAGAGACAGAGTCTCGCTATGTTGCCCAGGCTGGTCTTGTACTCCTGGCCTCAAGCAATCCTCCCGCCCTGGTCTCCCAAAGTACGGGGGTTACAGGTGTGAACCACTGTGCCGACTTGATGCATCTTTTTAAAGTAGAACACACATATAGAAAGTGTGTGCCTAAGTGTACAACTCATAAACTAACCCATAGAACTGGTCTCCAGATCAAGAAGCAGCCATTACCGGCTTGCGGATGTTCCCTCGTGCGACCTGCACACCTGGAGAGGAACTGCTGTCACTACTTCTATTCCTATAGAAACAGTGGCATGCAGTTTGTACTCTTTTGTGTCTGATTTCTTTCACTCAACATCGTTAGTGAGATCTATGCGAGATTTGTTGCGGGTAGCAATTGTTTGCTGATTTCCATGACTGCTAAGTCCACTGTATACTGCAATCCATTGATCTTTTCTGCTGTGGATGGACATTGGAATTGTTTCCAGTAATTGGGCATCTGCTTTTAAGTTGGAGTCTCACTCTGTCTCTCAGGCTGGAGTCAAGGCAACTGCAGCCTTGACCTGTCAGGCTCAGACGATCCTTCTGCCTTAGCCTTCCAAGTAGCTGGAACCACAGACATGCCACTACGCCCGGCTATGTTTTTGATTTATTGTCGAGACAAGGTCTTGCCAAGTGGCTCAGCCTGGTCTCGAACCCCTGGGCTCAGGCAATCCTTTCGCCTCGGCCTCCCAAAGTGCTGGGATGACAGTCGTAAGCCACCACACCTGGCTAATACGGATGCATCTGTTTTATTTTACAGAATTGGAACACATAAACGGACAGAATAGGGCAACAGTATACACGTTTAGAATCCTGAACCTTGAACTTCTAGGAGTCTCAGTCGAGCACACACCACATTTTGGAGAGCGCCACCTGCTGGTGCTGGGTGGCATCACAGCACGGTTCTACGAGACATTTTAAATAACCCGGGAAAAGGGTGGAGGAACTCAGCCTAGTGCTGGGAATGAGATCCACAGGCCCAGGAAGAAGCCACACGAAACACCTGGGGCCTCTGCTCACACAGAGGAGACCTCAGAATCAGGAACATGCTAGGTATTTTTGCAAACTTATTCCTAGTAGCCTGACACCCGGGACATAATAATAATCTTTTTCTTTTCCGGCAGGTTATCGGAAACTGGGAAGGAGGAAGGGGGAGGTCTTGACTAACTCCTTCCTTTCACTGGAACAGTGATTGCAAATTTCTCTTTGCCTTCCTGCAAGCCTCCTCCCTCCCCATTCCCATAGGGTCTCCTCCCAAATGCCTAGTACGTTTAGAAAGCTCAGCCGGAAGGCTGAGGCAGAAGGATCGCTGGAGCCCAGCAGGCGAGGCTGCGGTGGCCAGAAGTGGCCACTGCACTCCAGTCTGGGCGACCGAGTGAGACTCCAACTCAAAAAAAAAAAAAAAAGAAAGCTCAGCTGGCTGGCTGCACTTCCTGGGACTGCCTCTCTCACGCCCCGAGGACCAGGGAGCACTGCAGTGATCACAGAGACCACGCACAGCCTCATGCTTCCTTGCCGGCTTTCCTTAAGCCAACGTTGTATCCTTTGCAGACTGACTTAAGGGAAATGTGTGTTACACAATAAGACTTTCTTTTTTTCCACTCTCAAGATTTGGTTCCACTGCACAAAACAAAGCGTCTGATTCTTGCTCACACCACAGGAGGAGGCAGGTCTGGGGTTCAGCACCCCCCATCCCCTGGGCAGAATCGTGCCCAGGCTGTTCTCGGTCTTGCCATTTTTGGCCCCAACTATACCCAACTCACTTTTGATATGACCTCCCAAGTGAGCCTGAAACATGCAAGTCTGGTGACACACCCCATGCTTGAAAGCACTTAGATGCCTGTTGCTCTAGGGATAAAAACCCAACCATCTTTAATGTGGCTGCTGTAGGTTCCACTTCACAGCTGTCCTGTGTGATGGCCTCTGTTCTCCTTCACAGAATCCTGGTTTAGGGGACTGGGCATGGTGGCTCATGCCTGTAACCCCAGCATTTTAGGTGGCTGAGACAGGAGGATTGCTTGAGGCCAGGAGTTCGAGACCAGCCTGGGCAACATAGTGAAATGCTGTCTCTACAAAAAATCCCAGGGTCCTGGGTTTGAATTAGCCAGGGTTAGTGGCATCCGCCTATAGTCCCAGCTACTCAGGATGCTGAGACAGAAGGATCACCTGAGTCCAGGAGGTCGAGGCTGCTGTGAGCTATGATTGTCAGTGATCAGCCTGGGTGACAAAGTGAGATCCCCACTTGAAATAAATAAATAAATAAACAAATAAATAGATGGATAGGTGGGGCTGTGGCTCATGCCTGTAATCCCAGCACTCTGGGTAGCCAAGGCAGGAGGATTACTTGGGGCCAAGAGTTCAAGACCAGCCTGGGCAACATAGCAAGACCCTGTCTCCACAGAAATTTAAAAATATTAGGCAAGTGTTGTGGCATGCACCTGTATCCCCAGTTACTTAAGAGGTTCAGACAGGAGGATCGTTTGAACACAGGAGTTCCAGCCTGGGCACGGTTCTGTTGTTTTTTTTTAAAGATGGATTATTCTGCCCTGAAATCTTCCCAGACCAGACCACTCAGCCTGCTCTACCCCCCTGGCATCTGGCTTTTCCTTCATGGCACCTATGCTGTTGCCAGCAAGTGACTGACTGTACTGAAACACCCTCATCTGCTCACATGCACTGACTTGGGAAGGCGGAATGGGGCCTGGTGTACAGGAAAGCTCAATGAGCGCCTGCCAGTCAGTGCTGGAGACCCTGGTGGAGAGATGCAGAGAGTTGGTACTATTGGAAGAACCCGTGGGTACACACTTTCAGCACACAAGCCTTAGTGTACCCTCACTGTCAGCACTGGCCAGGAGCCAGGCCTGTGCCACTTGCCAGCGTGCCATCCTGGGCGAACGACAGTCTCTCTGATGACACCTTCCTCACCTGTGAGATGAGATGACGCTGCCTTCCTTGTCAGGCTCTTGTAGCATCGGGCGAGCTCATGGATGTGGGGGCTTCATGCCGTCTTCATCCCCCCCAACCCTCCCTGCTGTGAGCTCCCAGAAGTGGCGGCTCAAGCCAGGTCTCTGGTACTTGACTGGAGTCACAGGGACTGGTGGCTCAGGGGCAGGGACATCCCTTGGGTGGCTCAGCTGAGCTTAGGAAACTCAGGGGGCAGGAAGTCATACAGGGCAACGAGAGGAGCACAGAGGCTGGAATCCCAGGGTCCTGGGTTTGAATCCAGCTCAGGCTTACTGCCTAGCCCGCGACCAGGGACGGGAACCTGTATGTCACTGGGAGTTTTGAAGATGTAAAGATTTAGCCAACTCTTTAAGTATACCTCACACATGGCAGGCACATTCAGTAAATCTTCCAGAAGGAACCAGTGACCTAAAGGAATTGGATGGACCTTTAGTGTGGCTGCCACTAACTCGGGTGGTAATGGTTTCTCTCTGTGACCCTGTCCTGTTGGGGACGGATCTTCCCTGAATTTTTTTTTTTTTTTTGAGTTGGAGTCTCACTCCGTTGCCCAGACCGGAGTGCAGTGGCCCCTCCCAGCCACCGCAGCCTCGACCTGCTGGGCTCCGGCGATCCTTCTGCCTCAGCCTTCCCAGTAGCTGGAACTACAGGCACATGCTACCATGCCCGGATAATTTTTTTTGATTTATTGTAGAGATGAGGCCTCGCCAAGTTGCCCAGATGGGTCTCGAACCCGCGGGCTCAGGCAATTCACTCACCTCGGCCTCTCAAGGCGTGGGATTACAGGCTGAGCCACCGAGCCCGGCTCCCTGAATTTCTTTAAGAGGATGATCCCTCCCCAGTGAGTCTGGAAGGTGTGTAAGTGTTTGAATCCTTTGTGTGTTTTTAATGAATGCTGCAACTACAGGTAGGAAAATTGTGAATTTTGTTTTTAAAAATATCCCTTGGCCAGGTAGGGTCACTCATGCCTGTAATCCCAACACTTGGGGAGGCCAAGGCAGGAGGAATGATTGATCCCAAGAGCTGGAGATCAGCCTGGGCGATGTAGCAAAACCTCGTCTCTACAAAAATTCAAAAAACTAGCCGGGTGAGGTTGTGTGTGCCTGCAGTCCCAGCCACTCAGAAGACCGAGGCAGAAGGATTGTCTAAGCCCAGGAGGGTTCAGGAGGATCAAGGCTTTGGTGAGCCATGATCATGTCCCTGCACTCCACCCCTAGGCAGCAGAGTGAGACCCTGACTCAAAAGAAAACAAATCTCCCTTGATTTGCATTTGGCACTAGTCTCAAATAATTTCTCTGTGTTTCAACTGTTGATAAAAGATCCATCTTTTTAAAAAGATGAAGAGATAATGTGGCCTATCCATACACCAGAGTATGACTCAGCCTTTAAAAAGGAATGAAATCCTGACACATGCCACGACCCAGATGAACCTTGAAGACGTGCTGTGGGAGATACGCCAGCGACCGTAGGACAACTGCTATGTGATTCCATGTCTCCAGAGTGGTCAAACTCACAGAGACAGAAAGGAGAATGGAGGCTCCCAGGGGCTGGGGCGTTGGTGTCTAACGGGAAGCGTTTCCGTGGCTTAGATGGAAGGGCGTTGGAGGCGGACGGTGGTGACGGCTGTGTAACAGTGGAGCTGTGCTCCATGCCACGGAACCACACCTTTAAAAGTGGTTGAAATGGTGAGTTTTAAGCTCTGCCTATTTACCACAATAAGCAGAGATCCAAAAGCGAAAGATCAAAGGCACCCACCGCCTGTCCTCCGTGGGCCAGGGGCAGTAGGAAACCCCACCTCACCTCTTCTCAGGAACCCCGGACACCTGGAAGACCCAGGGCCCTCTGAGCACATGTCTCTGGGGAGCCAGCCAAGTGTCTCAGAGAGACTTGGGACGGGGGCAGGGCGCTGTGTGGGTGAGGCACAGGGTGAGGGGGT